CTTGAAAGGGAGGTGGTAGAAATGGTGGACTCAGAGGGGGTATGGAAATCCCAAGGTGGGCACTGACATGGGTACTGCCAAGAGAACAGGTATTGGGCCCGTGATTCCCGGAGGCTCCTTCGATATCCCCATCTCTTCTTTGGTGCCCATCGTTGAACATGAGCATTCAGGCCCCTGAACTTGCCAGGACTGAATAATTTAGAGATCAGACCAAAACAAGTGTCATGTCTCATGACAGGCACTGCCCATTTCTGTGGTGACACCTATAGGTAAGAACAGAGAAGGAAAATCCTTGTGCACGCTGCCTCATCAAATCTTCACAGGTCAGAATTATAACCCCCATTATCCAGATGAGGATGCTGGGGCTCAGGAAAGGGGGAGTCACTTCCCTTAGGGCAAACAGTAGTCATTCATTCAAAAAAGATAAAACATTTACTCTGGGCCAGGCACTATTCTAGGTGGTGGAGGTACCAGTATGAACAAGACAAGGGCACTGATGGGCGCCATCCTCTAGACATGGAAGACAGACAGTGATCAAGTATACATCTTAATGTTATGAATGGAAAAGTGTTCCGATGGAAACAAAACTAGAGTGGGTATGGGGCTAGCTCCTTTAGACAAACTAGTCAGAGAAGGCCTCTCAGAGGTGGTGACATTTGACTAAAGACCTGAGTGAGGTGAGGGGCAAACCAAGCAACATGTGAAGAAAGAGCATTGTCAGCACAGGAGATATTAGTGCAAAGACCCTGAAGACAGAATAAGGCCATGTGTCCAAGAATAGCAAGGAAGCCCATGTGGCCAGAATGGAATGAGTGACGAGGAGATTTCTGGGAGGTGAGGTGAGAGAGACACGTAGGACAGATCATGCCTTGGAGTTGGGATTGGGAATTTGGATTTTATTCCGAGTTTGATGGGGAGTGTATCTATAAGAGCAATCACAGGGTTTTGAGTGGCAAAGTGCTATGATCTGTTTTTAAAAGTTTGTTCTTGGCTCATGAGCATAATGCTAGGCTTAAGCCAGGTGCAAAAACCACTTCTCATATGAGTCCATACAGACAAACTTAGTTTATGCTATTAGAAATTAGCATACTTTTGACTGCAAACTTCTGGGCTGCTGATAATGGTTTGTCTCTTAACCTGGGTGCTGCACATGGATGTGTCCAGTTTGTGAGAATTCATTGACTTATATATGCTTATATTTCATGTATATATATATATACATATATATATACATATATATATACATATATATATACACATATATATATATATATGTTATCCTTGGATTAAAATTTTAAAAAAAAGAGAGAGAAGGTCATTCTCTTGGCTATGTGGAACACTGACTGTGGCTGGGTGAGAGAGGCAGTAGGAACTAGGCAGAAGGCGTGCCTACAGCCTAGGTGAGACACAAGGGCAGGTGGGTATGGTGAGGTTTTAAGAAGGAATCAGATTTAAGATATGGTTTTCAAGTAGATGGATTGATTATGTGGAGTGAGGAAGAGAGAAGTACAGGATAACTGCTGGGTCTGGGACAAGACTATGTTCTCCCCAGCCATCTGAGTTCTCTAGTACGATTCATCTCTGTATGCAGGGCATAGAACAGGGTCTTTGTAGCAAGTGACTTAAACAATCATGGTGCTGAGGGAAGAGGGTGTGTAGGACCTCCTCACCTTTATGACCCTTCTCATGCTGGGAGTGGTCCTGGTGACCTGATGCCAATAGTGCCGGACCTGCCAGATCAAAAAGAGGCAGAGGACAAGCAGGTTGCCGCAGCACCGAGGGTCCCTGCAGCTGTGACTTTCGGTGAGCAGACCCCGCACTGGCTCCCACTCAGAGCCCTGGAATGGCCCCACCACAGCACAGGCTCCCAGCAGTGGCAGCAACATGATAAAGCTTAGGTAGGCAGGTGGTGTTAGGGACTTGGAGGGCAGGACTGGTATGGCTCCCCCACCTAGTTTGGGGTGGGATATCTCCTGCCTCACAGCACCCCTGTCACTGAGGCCACCTCACAAAGGAGCCTGATGCTCTAGTCTCAGCTCTAG